CAAAAAAGGCGAAGGGGTCCCTAACTGAAGTGAGGGTGAGGCCTTGGTGATGCAACGCAACTCGTTGTGGTGGAGGGAAGTCATGCTTGCTTTCGTGGCAGAAAGTTGGGTTATGGAGTTATGGTAACATATCAATCCCATTCAATCCCTCTGCTCAGGGTTGGTTCACCAAGCCTGTTTTCGCATTGCTCTTGCTTTAGAACACAGAGACCGATTCACAGCCACCTATGGCCTAAGTGACAGATTGAGGATTATGGCTTTCTTGCCTTTGTGGGGCCTGCCTGCCAAGACCGTGTGGGAACCAGAGCGCCCCGCAAACTCAGGCGGGTTCGGAAAAGTCACGGTGACATGCGTTGCAAAAGAAGCTACGAAAAGGTTCGCCTGAAATCCAAACGTTTCTCTTTGTGGCAAACGACAAATCTGTCTACAGCTTCTAGATTAAAGAGCATCGTGGCTTCTGAGCGTAAGCGCGGACAAGGGACGCAGAACGGTTTGAAGACATTTGAAGCTTGCGCCCGTATACACTGGATTTTCAATCGGCGAGTCGATGCCACAGCCCTCACGCTGCCTGTGTTCACGTCGCAGGGAAAGCGTGGATTGACAAAATGATAGGAAAGGATGTAGAATCCTCAGCTTGCAGCAGCTCAGGCACTCGCAGTGCGCAGCCCGTGCTGTTCCACACTTCCCTTTCGATGAGTTCCCTCGAGATGTTAACTCGACGGCCCCTCCTCCCTTGAGTTTTGGCCTTCTCCACACCAGCTTTTTCAAACAAGAGTCGTGCGATTATCTGATGTAGCTGGAGTCTATGCATGCAGCGGAAGCCTGCTCGATGCAGTATAAACATCGAAAGAATCATTGACACTTGCGACCCCCTCGAAGCTGATGAAGCTCGACACTTCTGACTGTCTATGCTGTCGTCTTCTTTCGGGGACTCTTCTTCGAGTCGGGCGCTTGCTGGCCGGAGTCCATGGGCATTGCTTGCCGTCAGGCCAAGCCGACCGATCTCAGCTCTCCTCCGCTGGCTCTTCCTTGGACACGCCTCTTGTTGCAAATCGGGAATTCCAGCTTGTTTGCTCATTTTGTTAGTTAGCTTGCTGCATTCCATGTGGGCGACCAGTGGGCGGAGTAGGTCAGGCCACGACACAGGTGTCGGGATTCCCTGTAGATTTGAATTAGAGAATGTTCAGCATGATCTACAGTGGATTGGTTTCGGTGAATACTGCGTGTGGACGCCATGAAGCCATGAGTAGCCATGAAATCCAAGCAACAACGATTCACAGAAGTCCCGCGCCCCGGCCCTCTGGCCACTGCACCGCAGCCTTCGGCAGCGCCTTTCTTGGGGTCCCGCTGTCCTCTGCTATTCAAGCATCATCCTTTCCCCTCTTTGACTCGCAGTTCTCATCAGTCCACTTTTTTGACCCAGGGTCATTCCGAATCGTGGCCACTGCTGGTACTGTGGACAGTGCGGTGCCCGGTGCTCCTTCCCCCCCACATGCAAAAGCTTTCTCGAACCATTGCAGAGGCCCTGGCTTGACAAGGAGCCTGCGCAAGGTTCCGGAACTTGCGCTGAGGCTGCACTTGAGAGCTGAGTCTCCGTGCATAGGCTCTGGCAATCGGGTTTCCGCAGGGCCTCTCGAGGCCAGGGCTTAACGGAAGTCCTGTTATGTCCTCGATTCAGCAGTTTAGATGATTGGGATACCCTGTTCAAGGCCGGGGCCGGGCCTTCCTTGTTCCAGCGACTCGAAGCTGCTGGAATCGGGTGCGTGCCACAGTGGTAGGGTCGGAGACTTCGAGGTGAAGACGGTAGTCCGTATTCCTCTCACCATCTTGTGACTCTCGCGTCGCCAAGGCCCTGGCAGATAGCTGAGCTAAAAAGAAGCGCGGGACTGTGCAATAAGTTCTAGGGTCGCCTTCGGTGTCCAATGAAGCTCAGGTGAAGCGAGGTTGGCGGAGATAGCTGCTGAAGCGCCAAAGAAAAGAACAAGATGAGGATGGCACTGGTCGCAGTAGCGCGAGCCTCGGCGGCTTTGCCTTTGTTGATTGGCTTTCTTTCGTTGCAAGATGTTCTATGCATGTGCCAATGTCTCGTGGGGCATGTGAGATCATGGGCTCAATGAGGAGTGGTCATGAAGGGGAACACAGCGGAAGCGAGGACAACCAACGCTGTGAAGAAGCCCAAGAAGACGACACGATTTCCACAGGTGACTTGGCGGCCCGAGTTGGAAAGATTACCGAATCACCTGTTTATTGAAGTTGTTGCCCAAGACAAGGAGAGTCGAGGAAATGGACAAGCCTGCCCGACGACGTGGAGGCCGGGCGGTTTCTTTTTGTATTTCTCCTGCATCTGTGGTATCTTTGAACTAGAGGAGATCAGGGCCAGAGCAACAGATCTTATGGCCGGTATCGTGCGCAAATATAGCTATGACGCTCTTCGGCTGTGAACTCAGATTCTGAGAGCTGTGATGCAAGGCATGTAGCTTTGTCTGCTTAAGCTTGCTTGGTGAATGCTTTACCGCTTTTAGCGCGTCCATGTCATTGCGGCTCCCGACGGTACTTACATACATCCTCAAGCGCCTAGTGTGCGTCCTTTGCTGAAAGCGAGGTCAGCATGTCCTCGCTGACGAGGGTCGCTTCTACCAGTCACTTTGAGCTGACAGTCTGAGAACCGAGGCTCGCGAGATCGGGTACTTGTCGTGCATGATGCCCATTCTGGTCCTCTTGGCCGGACAGGTTTGGCAAAAGCCTACGCATGGCGACTGGATGCAGAGCATCTGCAACAGACGTCATGACCGACGAAGTGCCGAACAAGCGCTCTGCATGAGGGCAGCAGCTCGGGACTACACACTATCTTGAAGAGTCTTGATTCGCCGCAAAAGTCTGCTGTGCAATCCACTCTTCCGACAGCTTCGCATTTGCTGTTCTTTTGCTGTTCAGAGCTTCGGGAGCCACGATGCGAAGTCGCAGGCCAACACGGCCCGAGTCAAGAACAATGTGTAGGCTGCTGCGGGGTTCCATGTGTCCGGGTCGTTGGAGAGATGCTCAGCTGGCATGATTGCTGTCTACATGATTGCGAGAAGTGGCAAGAGAGCAACCACTGACTGAAGCGTTGCAGTTCTGGGATGCCGGAATTTCTAGTGCCAGGTCTGACGATGACACGGCCTGTCAAGCTCGCCCCCGGCCCAGCTCAGAGTCATGTCCTCAGCGCCCGCAGGCCAAAAGCAAAGGAAGCTCAAAAGGTCATGTCTTGGGGCTTCGAGTGTGCGTAAGGCCAAGACCGCCAAGTTCTGGGAGCCGTCCCTCGCGTGGGTACGGGCCCAGGCGTTTTCTGCTCTCCCACATCTTGCGTGCTTGACCGTCACAAGGACTCGATCACGTCCCAGAGTTCGCAAGCCTGCAGCTTGTGGAGTCAGACATGCTTTCACAGAACTCACCGGGCTTGCCTGGCGCACCGAGGATTTCGCGACCTGATCCGACGGCCAGGCACATCCGACTGCATGTCCGACCAGGCCACCCAGCCCTGAGACGCACAGGCATTCCGATGTCAAAACGGACGCCAAGCGCGAGGACTCAGAAGAGCGTGCCCTGAGGCGCGTTCTTGCACGGCGAGGGGGGTTCGCCTGGGTCTCGCGACAACAGAAGCATTACTAAACATCACTGCCGCCGGAAACAGATGGAAACAGAAGTTCCAAGAACATGACTATCCGACATCCTTTGCAATCACTTTTCGCGGTGCAGAATAGTGTACATACTCGGCTTCACTGACGCGCGTTGCGGGTTGAGATTTTGTTGCGGCAACGGTGACACTCAAGCACGTTTCCGAAGTGGGTCATGCGGACACTTCAGCATGAATCTTGCATAATTGGAAGCCCGACACGTGTCACCTGGCAACGAGACTTCCAGACAGAACGACCACTGCTCACTGTGACACCACTTGCGGAGATCTTCAAAGTCTCTTTGCTCCCGGTCACCCGGGCCGATGCAGAATGCAAGGAAGCCCAAGCCCAGTTTCTGGACTTTCGGTCAGGGTGTCCCGTGGCCAAGCAAATTCAACGGTTCGAGATGATGGTCGGAGACTTTGGTTTATGGAGGTTTATTTGGCTTACGGGAGGGTTTATTTGGCGACTTCTTCTGGTCGAAAGGGCAGCCGCCCTGGCCTTCGCCTGGGGAGGGTTGGAACAAGTCGGGAGGCCGTCGATAGGCCGCTCTACCAGACTTCCGTGGCTCAGGAGGATCTTTGCCCAGAAGCCCATGGTGGTTGAGGACGGGCGTATAGGGACAAGCTTGGCATCATTGCATCATGGATGTGTAGTGAAGTGTAGTGGTTGCGCGTGGTGAGCTGCGGAAGTTCAGGCGCGCCTTCTGGAAGAAGTTGCTCGATACACCCGTGAGTGTGAGAAGCAAGTGTCTGCAGCTTCCTCAGTTCCGAATCGCATTGTTTGAACCATCGTGACGCTGTGAGAGGTCACCGGGCTTGCCGGTGGCTACGCCATCGCAGACCCTTCGCCCGAGCAGGAGATGGCAGCTGCAGGCGCTGCTTCAAACAGAACTACCTGTAGCACGGCGTCTCTCCAGGGCTTTCTCTTTGACATGAAGCGGAAGAATAAGAAGAAGCGAATGTGCTAGTTTAGGCAAGGACACGCAAGTTGGCGTGTGGCTTGAAGCCAGAGGACTGACGAACATAAAGCAAGACAGAAAGAGCGACAGACATTTAGACTGCGAGAACGAGGCGTATAGATGGACCGACGTGAGTCTAAAGAAAAAATCAAGAGAGACGGTAGTCAAAGAACCACAAGACATAGTGCAGCGACAATTCCTAGATGTTGTTTTAGTTGGTCTTCTGACGTTCCCATCACACAACTAATCGCCCAATGTCATTGTTGCAACATGTGCTGCATGGACTGCAGGGTTCTTTGGAGTTTGGAGTTTAGGGAAAACAATGATCCAGGTTCTTCTCGGTTGGTCAGAGTTTGTCCGAGAAGCATCATCGATAGGTTATGAAACTGCTTCTGCTATTGACACAGAGTACTGCTACCGACATTGCTATTGCTGCTGCTACTGCTGCTGTTGCTATTACGTGAGACACTGTCCCAAGTAGGGCTTACACATCTGTGTAAATGGGGTGGCCCGCATGACAGGATCCGCGTAGCTTTTAGCAATACAACCGGGAGGCCATACAGACAAAGCCAAGCTGCACCAACCGACCAACCGCAAGCTTGAGTCTAATCAAGCCAAGAATTGAAGTGAAAGAAGCTCTCTACTTGGATTTGTTTGGTCGCAAGCTGTCCACGAGCAACGGGTGCAGGCACTAGCAATGTCATCGATGAATTCCTGTGACAGGGCTCAGCTTTTTCGTCACTGCATGCGCTTTGCATTAGTTGCAAACCAGAGTGCTCCGAGGTACAAGTTGGAGAAGGAGGCACGGCTGTGGCAGACTGCTGAAACACAATGAGATACTCTGGGCTGGTGCGAGTGGCGCTTTAGTCATCACCAGGAGTGTGACCAGCCTCAGCCCGAGGAGGTTTCGAGGTGGACGCAGGATACGCAGGTCAGTCTGCAAAGACGAGACAAATCTACCATGACAGGCCTGCCACGGCCCAGTCGGCACGTCTGGTGGGCCTCCCATGGCAATCCGTCCGTACCACGGCTGTGCCCGGGAGTGTTCAGGTGGGTCTTCAGTCGGAGCTCGGAGAGGCCAATCCGAACCCAGCACCGGCGCCGGCCCGTCAAGTCATCGGGGTGCGAGGCGCAGCAACCCGTCACGCCGCGTCACGCCGTTGCAAACGGGGTTTAGGCAATTCGACAGGAGCTGAGCGGCTCGCGGAGCAGGTGGAAGAGCTTCGGGCCAAGGTGGGGTCCTGATTCACCGTAGTACGGAAGCATTTTGTTTTGCTTTTTCGGAAGAAAGTTAAGTTATTGCTAGAGGTGGGAGAGGATCAGCTCGACTAGTCTACACTCGCAGGGGTGTAAAGCGCCACGACTTGTGAAGACATTTCCAGCATCATTCTGTCAGATTTGCGCGACGGTGCGTGAATGAGCCCTGCAGATGGCGACTGTACTCCGAGAGAACCGGAAGCTCAAGGACAGATGTCAACGCCGTCTCGCCAGTGAGCAGAACACGATTCTTTCAACGTTGTCCACTTCGTGAGGAAACCATCGAGGTGAAAGACCAAAAGATCAGAAAGCTGTTGGATGATATTGATCGAGTCCCAAAACATGTTGCAATGTAGCCGGACATGTGATTACACACAGTTTTTTTCAGACCAAGGAAAGGATTCGCAAGGCGTGCAACTCAGCGCGATTCCGAAGCACTTCCTGTGTGCTGGCAGCAAGCACGCATGCGCAGGATCCCAATGTCATGCACCCAAGTATTCTGCGATTACGCAAGCGGCGGACTCAAGGGTTCGTACAAGTCTGCTAAGCCAAGCGAAAAGAAGCAAGGAGCTGAGAAGTTGAGAAGCTGCTTGCCGCTCTTCAGGATGGGGCTCAACACTCCTGCACTGGCAGAACTGGGCGACCGATGGGCAGGGCAGCGGGCTTGGAGAACGTGTTCGACATACTTCCCGCACACTGAGCCTTCACTGCGTTTGCAGCACTTCGCGTGCTTTTGCGTGATATGCCAGATACGTCTTGGGCCGGACCTCTATGGCCATGGAGGCGGAAGTGTTTGTGGTTGGACTCTCTGCACCTTGCGCTGAGAAGGTCGGAAGCTTCTCCTTCAGAAATGTGTTCGCAGCGCATGCAACCAACGGCAAAGGTCTCAACATGCCGATGCTTTCTGGTGAATGAAAACTCCTGATCGACTCGGAAACGTTTGCGAGGTGTTCTGACTGAAGAGTCCTTCAAGACAGTCTTGAGACAGATGCTTGACTGTGAAAGTGGATTGTACCTTTAAGAGGCTCTTTGTGGTATGGTTCCACCGAGGTTCGAGCCGTCCATCAAGAGCGACCAGTTGACGCGACTTTGGCGCCCAGGGCAGTGGCAGGATCGACGCCCGAAGGGAGTGATCCGTGCTGCGAAAAGGTACTTCGCCGACGAGGACGGCAGTGGCAGGATCGACCTCTTCGAGTTCATGAGAATGGCCGGCCTCGCCCTGAAGCCTTCCGAGTCCTACGCTTTTCGACGCTTCTCAGAACGCAGTTCAGGTGTGAACTCCAATGGAGAGATGACGGATGAGTACTACGAGGTGGCAGGGAGCTTAGAAGCATCTTAGCAATGTTTCCTGCACGCCTTTCGCATGTTGGGATTAGGTGACCATGCACCTCTACCGCAAGTTCCATGCACGGGGCGGCGTCCGACGTGTCTACGCCACTGCCGACAAGAACTGGGACACTCAGACAAGCTTTGTTGTCGCATCATGTCGCAGCTATGAAGCATGGGACTAAGACTCTCTTGAGTGGCTGCTCGACCCCCTCACGAGAGTATGGAGAGACCTAGTTCTGTTATATGGCCCTGGCCCTGGCCGCCGGCTGCCCTTGTCCCCGGCGCCCCTCCACGGTCTGTTTCAACCAAGCGTGATGCTTTCCGTTCAGAAACGGACGGCAAGTTCGTCGAGTAGTAGCGAGTCGTCGTTATCTGCTTTTGCAGTGCGCCGGCCGAAGTCCATTAATCGACCGCAGCTCTCTCTCTCTGCGGGATGTGGGATCGTGTGCTGGGGGCTCAACCTTTCCAGGGCTCCAATTTAAGGCACAGGTCTGCTTCCGACACTGCCGGCGCGCTTGTTCGCCACTGAGTGGGGCCACACCGGAACCAACTGCAAGGCAGCGGAGGATGATGCCTGGACCCGCGCCGATGCCCGCATGGCAAAGCAAGGTTAAGGGTGGAGTCCGCATCCGCTCTCGTGTGGAGCCCACCCGGGGCCCCGGGGCCCCAACCCGTGCCGCTGGCCACTCTCCTTAGCCGTTACGGGCTTCCCCACTAAGTCCTCGGAGCAAGAAGCTGGTTGGCAGAAATAAAGGATGGAATCCAAGCCACGTCACGGTGGGCATGCGCGGCCGGTTCGAACTGTTCAACCTTGAAGGTCTAAGCCCCGCAAAGCCGCAGTCTCGAAGGAAGAAGCCTTTGACGCGTGATTTTTGGATGCGCCCGCGCCCGCGTTCGTTGAGGATCAACATCTGAACTTGGCCGAGTTTCACAAGCTCGTGCAGGTCCTCTTGAAGGAGCTTGCTGACATCACGTAAGTGCAAGTGGCGCGGCGCTTCGAGTGATGTGTTAAGAGCCGCTGAAGTTTGGTTTTGCAGCCCAGTTCCCGTTCTGCAGGATGCTCAGCTCACAAAGCGTGAGATATCCCAGGCTGAGCCTGTGTGCATATGTCAGCAGAGAGAATGTTACATTGTCGCAACAGGTCTTCCAGAGGATGAATGTCTCTGGATCAGGGATGTTGAGCGTGTACGAGCACAGCTCGCATGGTTGATGTCGAAAGGCCTGATGATGCCTGATGGCCTGATACGTTCCTTTTCATTTCAGGCTTGAGGCCGCCTTGGAAGCGGTGCCTCTCTTGGCTGCCGTATCTGTTGCGAGACACTGTGAGATGTGAGACAAGCAGAGGCCGGAGCCAAATGCCACGTCTCAGAAGCCTGGGTGAAAGAGACCTTCCATCAGCTATCGACGCTGATTCAGGAGCCTTTTTCTTCAGCAGTCTGCCAACACTTGTGACTCAGCACCTCGAGGATGCAGGCTTGAACATCAAGTCGGTTTTCCCTCCCGGGCTTGTCGTGGAAAAGGACAGTTGTGCTTTTGCTTGCGAGCTGCCACATGCCGTCGCAAAATCAGGAGTTTCGAGACGTCGCTCTACGATTTTTGACCCAGCTTCGTCCTTCGCAGCTGGACGGGCTCTTATAACCCGTTGGGAGAAATAGTTTTCGATGGGCATTAAGGAACATGCAGGCAATGGCCGGTAGCATGTCAAACTTGACATGAGTGTTCGGTGTTCTTTCTGTACTTATGCCACCCTCATGGTCATTCCGTCAGAGCCACCACCCAGAGAGGCTCTCGATCCAAGATTTCTCGGTTTGGCGGGGCTCAGTTGTGGAACACGCGGCTGACTCGTATTTCGAGGTCCGGGAAGGGGATCCTCGCCACAAACATCAGCAAGCAGCTGCCCGCTCTTGTGGCATCGTGCGATGACCCGTGACCCTCACCCTTGACATGCTGGCCGCCGTCCTGAAACCAAGGCGCTCCTGACCCTGACCCTGCAACCTGATTCGGCAGGACCGACTCTGGAAGTACTTGCAGGCCACGTGTGCCGATGACGCCGTTCAAGTCAGGCTTGTGCAAGCTGTCAATGGTCTTTGTGAGTGCAAGTTCTGCTCCCAGGCATGCTGGTGGCGACCGAGATCGCTTGCCATCTGACAGTGTCGTAGCGGTCCACAGCTTAGGAGGCTTAGGAGTGCCACCGAATGAGATTCCGCTGCAGGATGCACTCGACATGTGTGTAACCTTTCATAGGTTTTCAGGTCCATTCTCGTGCAACTGCTTTGGAGCCATTTGGGGGAGCAGAAGCTGTATCATGCTGTGTCTGAGTGCTGAACTACAAGATTGCCTGGGTCACTGACCCTGCTAGTTTCAGTCAGGTTGTTTTCGGGCCCACGCTGACAAGCAGTCCGAACGAGCTGTCATCTCCTGGGCTTCAAGGCAACCCGAACTTGCACTGTGCATCCCAGAAACGGCAGCCATGATGCTTACCGTTTTGAGGGTCGATGCTGTCGCAACTGTCGGCCGTGGTTGTTGTCGTGATTATATCGGGCGAGATGGTGATTCTTGCAAGGGACGAGCGGCTCAATCAGTTATCGGTAAGATGAGACGCGCTTTTTGGGGATCGTTTTGGTTTGGGGTCAAACAGGATGTGTGGGCATCCAAAGGGGCCCTGATTTAAGAAAATAATTTTAAATATTTTGTGTGCACACTGCGCTGGCGTTGTCAGTGCTCCACTTGAGCGGGGACGAAAGTGGTGGAGCTGGTGAACTGGCGGTACTAAAACAGCAGCACGCAGCTCCACTCGTTCAGCTGTTCGGCTCGTTGAGCGCAACCAACAACGGCGAATGGGCAATGGTGAAATGGAGCTATTGCCAGTAGGAGTGCGCAGACTCGCCTGGCATGTTTTCAGTACTTTCATCGAAATTGTATGATACTGTATGTTATGATAACAAAAGCTTCGGCATGCAACGTGCGCAGTTGGCATTATGAGCAGGTGCAGGAGCTGCAGGCTATTACGGCCCTGCCGGAGGTCGGACTGCCTCTTCTGCCTTCAGTGTAACAGCAGCATCCGGCAAGTTAAGAGCTGCACATGTTACATGAAAATTGCGCGAAGGTGTTGGCCGTGAGGCATGTTGCCATAGTGTAATTTTCGAGTTTGACTGTCAGTGGGGTTGGCGCAACGATCGCCGTATGCAAACGCCCATGGAGGCGTTAGAGCAGTTGGTGCAGCAGCTCGTCCGACGAGCCGGAGACGCTGGACGCCCGGAACGACCTGTACTCTGCAAGCTTCGCAAGTGAAATCGGACTTCAGCGACTTCAGCGTCTTTTTCCTGACGCCTGGCATGCCCGATCGCAAGGTCTCGCCGGACGTGTGCTTCGACACCTTGAGCCCCTTCATCACAGCAGAGCACTTCCAGGAGATGCTGTCAACCAGGCGGTACAGGGGTTTTCACGGGGTGTTCAGTTCACTTTCTACCTTCGTCAGGCTGGGACTGCATTACGACCCCGTGAAGGCCAAGCAGGTGTTCAAGCTGTGCAGCCGGCGTGGCTTACTGGTCTACAGCAGGCTGAACAGTGCTTCCAGGCTCTCCAGCCTCATCCCCACTCCACTCTCATCCGACACAAACCCTCGTAGCTTTGCAAAATCCTTGAGCCGCTGCTTGTTGGCATAGTTTCATGGGCCTGGCAACTCTCATGATGGGGCACGTAGCATTAACGTTTCCTGTCTTGGTGAAGCCGGCATCTACCGATTGAGGGTCCCATGACGACAGGATCGATTCCGATCGGGACAGTAAAATCACGCGGTTGGAGTTCGGGTCCCAGAGGTGTCATGCTGACATTTGCACGATTGCGTATTTCTTCCCCTCGGATGCGCTTGTCGAATTTGACGTGATCTTTTCCAGAAAGCAGGCAAAGCAAGCGGACAGTCAAGCACATTTCAAGGAGGGGTTCTTTCGAGTGTAGGTAGGCAGGCAGGCTCGCTTGATGTTTCCCTTTGTCTCCCCATACTACCTGGCCAAGCACTAGATTGGTGCATAACTGTGGTGTGTGCACGATTTTCCTTGTACCTCCATGACACGCCTGAAAGAGATTCCGTTTCACAATGGAGCGAAGGATACGAGCAGCACGTGCTGCAACTGCGGGGCATCTGGTGCCGCCTTTCTCTGCAGTCGTTGCCACAATGTGCGATTTTGCTCGCCAGCATGTCAGCGAAAAGCCTGGAAGGGACATCGCGAGAACTGTGCAGAGAAGGGGCTTGATGAATGGGTCATTGTGCTACACACGGATGCTCTGCCTGGCAACGATGCTGGTACTGTGACTGCCGGTGCCGAGGTTGCAAAGAAAGCCTGCAGAGACAATGACTTTGGAGGAATGGTGGCCTGGAGTCGTGTTTTCTTCCTTCGAAGAGAGCCTGTTGCGAAACTTGTAGCAGCAGCGCATCATGCACAGGGCACACATCTTTGGCTTCCAGTGTATTCATTGCTAGAGATGGACAAGGCGACGCCGAAGCCTCTGCCAACTGCATTGCCTGAAGTGGTCGTGGAAGGGGCAAAGCCGGTGCACAAATTCGCGGGCCTCTCAGTGGCAGACATGGACGAGAACTTCCACAACAGCACGCCAGTTGTCCTCACTGATGCGCAGGACTCATGGCCGGCACGACGGAAGTGGACTTTCGAGTGGCTTGCAGAACAGTATGGGGACGAAGTGATGCCCTGCAGCGATCTGGCGCCATTCTTTCGCCATTGCGACCGTGGCAACATCCGTACGGTGCAGGCCCCTCTTCGGGAATTTGTGCGCTACGTTCAAGGTCGTCCCAATATCTTTGGACCGTTGCAAGCCCCTGACCGGGTTTTCTATGCAAACGGTTGGACACCTTTTCTCGATCACACAGAGCTGCTTTCGGATGTATCTGATCGCTTGTACTGCGTCTCGGATTCCATACCAGCTGGAGACGGCCCTGCCAAAGTCTTCAATGCAAGTTTGACAAAGATCTTCATGGGTCCAGCCGGAACGGTTTCGCGTCTTCACCACGACACGTACGCGACACACGTTTGGTTGTCTCAGATTCGTGGCAGGAAGCAGTTTATCTGCTATCCGCCCGGAGAGACTCATCTGTTGCACAGCCTACCGGTTGACGAGGTGGATGGTCGTACATCTCTCTTTGATCCTTCAAATCCAGACTACACGCGCTTTCCGGACGCCCGCAGAGCACAAGCATACAGTGTGGTGGTTGAAGAAGGACAAACAGTCATTCTGCCAGCCCGCTGGTGGCACTGGGCGAAAAGTCTTACTCCTTCAATCACACTGATGAGAAATTTCGTGAACCACGCGAACATTGAAGATCATGTTGAGATTCGGAAACGGGCAGAGAAGGCAAGGAGCAGATGATGTGGCACCAGGCAGTTTTGACAAGCACGCCCTCACCTTACAGACCCATGTTCTGCAGGTGGGGCATAGTTCGTGCATTGACACTTGACAAAAGGAGCGTGTCACACAGTCCTTGCTGCCGCATTGATGCCTATTGTACTCCTACGTCTTGCTCGAGGTTCCGGCTCATGTTCAAGGCCCTTGCTCCAGATTCCCACACCTTGACAACTCGGCCGGGGAGCTCGGTGTCATTCAGAAATCGTAACATTTTGTGTCCGTATTTGTGCCGGTTGTCAGGGAGTCTCTCGAGGATGACTTCGAGAAAGAAGAGCAGCACCAGGCACTGTTGATACGAGCAGACCAAGCTGTGCTTGAGACACACACACACACACACGCTCTCTCTCTCTCTCTGTCCTTATCTGCCTCGTGATCTGAAGACTCTTGCTGCTCATCCGGGAGCCGTTGTTGTTCAAGAACTGGCAACTGGAAGCCCCTGATGCAGCTGCAGAATTTGAGCACATGCATCATTCCCACCATCGACAGGCTACTTGAGATATTTGGCCATGTATGCAGCTAGTGTCCTTGCCAAGCTCGGCTACGAGTTCAGGCCCTCACCACCCGTCAATCTGTCTCATGCCGGTAAGTGGGGGGGCATCTGAAGGCCAGCTGCACGTGGCAAGAGCGACCTAGTGCTGAGACAGAAGGCGGATCCAGAGAAAGGTTTCGAGTGGAAGGACCTAGACTGAGCCGAGACGGGCTGGCATGGAAAGATAGTGACTCAGTGTCAGTAGGACCAGAAGAACTACGAGGAAGTTGCTGACGCGGTTCTGCAAGGGACCCAGGGTCAGTGAAAGAGCGCTCAAGTGAGAACGATAGCAAGGATAGCGGCACACGATGCCTAGACGACCGCGGCATCAGAGTTGCAATTGTCATTGCGCTGAAGGTCCTACGTGCAGCTACAGCTGACGGCTCTTTGCGGTCTGGTTCCGCTTCCTCTTCCCCTGAATGCTAAAGAGGCGAACTCAGTAGTTTATGCGAGCAGTCATCTGAAAGAGCATGCCGGTCCGATGCTGCTCCTAGTTTGTGGCTCTGCTCCTGGTGGTGCTGCTGGGGTCTGGGGTCGCAGTCTTTGCATCAACTCCAGTCTTCATGAAGGTGCGATGTTTGACTACATCTTTCGAGCAGAATCGCTAGGCTGGGCCGTGCTGGTTGCCAACCCGAATGTCAATGAGTTCAACGGCATTGTCGTCAGTGGGTCGGAAAGCCCTCATCGACATCTTCAGACTCTCTGGAATTCTTATATATCCTCTTCTTTGGCATCTTGCGTGCTGGTGGTCGCACACTCCTATGGGGCTCCTTCCATGGTGCATCTCCTTAAGGTTGAGCCAACAGCACGCGAGCGAATCTCTGCTCTGGTCTTCACGGATGGAACGGCCTTTCCACCGGGTACCCTCCTCATGGAAAAAGTTCCAAACGAAGACTCCCCGTTGCGACAGGAGATGAGTCGTTTTCGAGAATTGACACCGGAGGCATTCGAGCCAGCATCGCCTGCGGTCCAGGAGTGTTTGCGCTCCGTGGGGCGGAACTTCAAGTCCTGCGATCTGCCACCCGGGACCCCCCTAGCAGCTGACTGCGAAGGAGTCCCGGCGGTAAGTGCCGGACACACAAGCCATCCTTCCACGACACATGCCGCAACAGAACCTGTCTTTGCTTTTTTGCAGTTGGGAGCAGAGGCAAGATCCCAGGTCTCCGCCGCAAACGACGACCTTCGGACTCTGCTGGCCGGGCAGTGATCTCACAAAAATTCGACCCAACAGCACATAGCTCGCCATCTGCGGACCTGCGAGCATAAAAGTCACAGGGTGTTGGACATGGTCATCATGCATCTTGCAAAAACCTGTGGATCCGCCACGAAGCCCTGTCAGGTCCAGAGACTCCAGAACCGAGTCCTACTGCTCCAACGAGAGGTGCAGGAACTGCGTGGACCTTCTGAGCGTGGCCACTTGGAACCCACGGTCCCCGAGAAGCAGTTTCAGCAGCTGAGCCAAGCCCACGGCAAGGCGCAGCAGAGAGAACAGAAGAGCGCATCAGATTCCACCAATATCCTTCATTCATTCAATTTTCGGGATCAGAAGACTGCTGATTGCAGGTCGCCAACCACTTGCAGGCATTGCGAGCTCAGCTGCAAGCCGTCGGGGCCAACGGTCGGCGTGTGCGTGTGTGTGACCATACGACAGGATCGGGACCATTCCACACATGATGTCAGGTCAGCAGCTCTCGCAGCACTGTGGTGTCCCCGGTCTATGTTGATATGCGTCTGCAGACAGTTGCGCATGGTTGCGCTGCACAGATCCTGCATGATCTCCAGTCCTCTAGTGCAGGGAGGGTGTGGGACCATGCGCCGCTCTCCGCAGCAGCCATGGGGTGCACTGGAGGAAAGGCAGAGGAGCAGCCTAAAGCTTCGAGATGGCAGCTCGGCTTGTATAAAAGTTGTGGCCGACATTCTGGTAGTAAATGCCAGAGGAGCGCCTTCGTGTGATTCCAGATGCCTGGTCACCAGCGCTACGGACAGGCTTTATCTCAGCATGCATACAGCAGACGGGCCTTGAGAGCTTCTGTCAAAGCTTTAGCTGTGCCTGGAATACGATAGGCAAGGTAATCTTTGCTTACGCTGGGTTTGCGAATGGCTTAGCAACCAGAGCCAGCATGAGCCAAGCGGACCGTGTAGATGCTGTCGAGGCCAGTGTTCGAGACATTTAGCTGCTGTAGATTGAGGATGCTTTCCGTATCGTCGCAGGTGGTTTGACCTGCAACATGTGGCCAGCATGGAGTTTGTAGTTTGTTCTCGTTACTAGTTACATTGTCCCTCGAGACAAAGATCTTTTTTGGCGGGAGAGAGCACACTGCCGTGAGGAAGATGCCGGCATGTTGCGTGCTGCTTCCTGTTAACATGCTCGAAGGGCAGACTTGTTCCACCCCGTGACATCCCGTGACACCGAGGTACAGCCACGTTCTGCAGCACCACTTGACGGCGCACTGGACATCCAAGAAAATGGAAGTGGAGTATCGGACTCGATACCTGCCCTTTGAAATACGAGGCAAGTGTTCATTGTTGCTGAGGGCTAACTGCATGTGATCCCCTGCTCAGGGGCTGGGGTGCTTGTCAAGGAAGACGAGCGCCACTTCCGCATTGACAACAGCAAGCTAGGAGAGAGCGCTCAGGGAGTGTGTTACCGCCTCTCCAAAGATGCCAGTGACAAAGATTTCGAACACGTCGCATTTTGGAACAGCATTGTCGCTGGAAAAGACACTGGCGATGGTTGGCTCCTATGTGACCTTGATAGTGAGAACCTGGAGCTGTTGGATCAGCTGGACCGAGAAACTCCACTGGAGACGCTCAGCTCGAAGTTTTTCAGGAGTTGCATGGTGTGTTGCTCCACAAGCTCGAACATCGATGGTCGATGGATCTCCAATGTATTCCCAGGGCAGAAGACTATTCGCGGTGCTTTGGTAAATGACGGGGCTGTCACCCGCCCCCTGACTTGGGATGGTCTGAATGCTTTTTCAGTCATTGTCGCAGGAGAGAAGCGGAGAGCTAGGCTGGTGGACGATCGGCTGTTGTGGCACGACGGAGAGCTTTGGACCCGTGATCATCGTGACATGGACGTGGTGAAGCCAACCGAGAAATTGGGCAAGGACCTGGAGACAACCAACGCCAAATTCCAGTGTGTTTGCCAAAAAGGCCTGAAACCTGGCAGCTCGAACCAAGATGCATGGAGCCTTCTGCGGGTAGAAAATGAGTTTACCCTCTACACCGTTTGCGATGGTCATGGGCCACATGGCATCTTGTCGGACTAGTTTTGTTGACAGGGGTGCTTCTTGATTGGGGACCGAGAAGGTCTTCCGTCTTTTCAAGGGGTTTTGCCACGAGGACACGATGTGGCGAATTTTGTGAAGAACAACTTGCCGAGAGTCCTTATCAAAGATCCGCGTTTCAATGGCACCGGCAGCTTTGGCTGCATGGGTCCTGTCTTTCTTGACGCCTTCCGCCTCTGTCACATGCTGATCGACACTGCTGACTCCTTTGGCAAGCTGGATGCGCTTTGGTCCGGTACGACGGCGACAACCATCCTGCATAACCACCAGACTGGCCAGTTGCTGCTTGCACATGCCGGGGACAGCAGTGCTGTTGTCGGAAGAAGCTGGGACGAGAAGTCTAAGGGCGAGTTAGGATAGATGGTGTGATCCCACATCTTTCAGCAGAGATCCTCAGCAAGTTTACAACCCCAAGAAGCATGTAAGAGTCGTGGAGAATTCTTTGCACTCCAAAAAGAGCGAGGCCAAAGCGGCAAGGAGGTTCGTGCTCGTCAACTTACCCGGGACCACAAGCCATCTTTGTGTGACGAGCGAGACCGGATTGCCCCTTGGATTCGGTTGAGCACCTTGTTTTCACTAGGCCGTGGATTTTCTTGGACGTCTGGGAGATTTACAAAGGTGGCATGGGGCGGCAGGATTGAGTTCGATGGCTTTGCCGATTACCGTGTCTATGACAAAGATGGCTATGGTGCAGGTCTGAATATGACCAGATCCCTGGGTGATCTGAATTCGCACTGTGACTGCGGACTGATTGCAGACCCGGAACTTGGCGAATACGCGGCTGCCAAGTTGCAAGTTGCAGCCAGCAGCCCAGCCTCGCTTGTAGTTCCAAGCTCTATGCGCAGGTTACTGCAGAAGATCAAGTCCTCCTGCTTTGCAGCGATGGAATCTGGGAGTTCGTAAGTCCACAGGACCGAGGGATGCGTTTGAGTGCAGTTAGCTGGCCTCTCTTGACATCTCATGAGCTGCAGGAGGCTGTGGAGTTGGTTCTGAAGCAGAGCGACGCCGCCTCTGCTAGGGCTCTTGTTGATGAGGCACGTCGTCGATGGTTAGAGCGCGCTGCTTGGACTGATGGATGTGCCTCCCTCCTGGAGTCGGGGTGCCGAGGAACGGTGATCGCTCTTTCGGATGTCTAGATTCAGATTGCCGGTGGTTGTGCGGTCCAAGCAGCTGGTCTGTTGACTGGTGGTGCAGGCATTGTGTCCGAGGCCATTTCGCTCAAAGTCCAACCCCCTCACCAAACTGTCCTCGAATTTTTAATTCGCCCACGCTCCAACCCGGCTGCGCCCCAGCCTTCCGGCATGCAAAGAGCGCTGCGATTCAAGCACCCGCGACTCCAGCACGTTCAGCACGCACCGGTTCGAGCACCGGCGATGGCTCCAACACTCGCGAGTCAAGCACCCGCGATTCAACAGGGTATGGTTTAGGCTTTGAGGGTTGCAGGTTGAAGGTTTCGGGCCTTTGTCGCAAAGGTAACACCATGAGGTTCTAGTAAAGCGCATTGGTTAGTTTTCACGTGCGTGCGCCGCATGCGAGCGCATCGTGTCCTATTACAGTGGATCTGTGCTGCCCCGAGAGCCGGATGCATTGTAAATTACGATACATGGACCACTTCTGGCTTCGAAAACCCTGAAACTGCGGCATCCTTCTGAATTCTGCCGCCGAGCACAAGCACCGTGGTTGAATCCCGCTCATTTCTCAGGGACAGCATCTGGGCCGTGGTCTGCGATCCACCAGCACGGTGGGAAAGCACTCCTGAATGCGGCCAGTGCTTTGGGTAAAGCAGTTTGGCTTTGTCCCGTGTGCTGGGGTCTCCTGGTGGTCTCCTGGTTGTCGTTGTCGTCCGGGTCGTAATCGTGGTTGTCATGGCCATGGCCGTTGTGGTGCTCTTTCATAGACCCTAAAGCCTGTCAACCCTCAAGCCTGAACATGCGCCAGGCCCCAAACCCTAAAAGCACTACAGCTCGAAAGCCACAAAGCCCTAAACCCCAAACCTAAACACTCGGCTCTCCATGGCTGGCGAAACATCAATGGTACATCACTAAACCTAAGAAAGTATTCTAGCGTAGATTCCCCCAAATCCCCAACAATGGCTGGCAACCCCTTGCAGAGGTCGGTCTCCGTGCGCGAATCCTTCGAGCCCGCCGCAGTGCGCCAATTGTCGGTGGGCCCCTCTCTGCGACTCCCCGGGGGCGCAAATCTTTGTTCCGGCGCGCGACTCGATCTGATGCGTCCCTGCTCATTCCAGCGCCAAATACGGCTTTCGAAATCAATCCCCGACCCCTCAAATGCAAAGCCTCGAACGCAAACTAGGATCGGAAAACCCGGCACCATAAAGCCGGCGTCCCGATGCCAACCTCCAACTCGAACTCAAAATACCTTCACCTGGCACGGTTTCCTTCTCCCGCCAGATCGAGATTGGCGGGCGAACTTGTGTGAAATCGATAACATGAAACGCAACAAGCGGCTTGCCTCTGCTAGGCTTTTGCTCCTTGTTGATTCTTTGGCCTCCCAAGCCTCCAGCCGACGAACATAGCATTTTCAAGAGGTGTGTTTTTGAAATTGCCGTGCTGAGTGCAAAGCTTATCCTGTTTCAGTCCTGTTTCGCTGGTAAGGCCATGTATGAAATCGGATTGCTGATCTTGCGAGTGAATTAGGCTGACTACATCGACGACATCGTCGCCCTTGTCGTGTACCTGAGTGCGGAACATGATCGCCCAGTTTGTGCAGCATGTGCCAGCGGTGGAGCTTGATTTTGCTCACCCACAACCAGAATTGACGATGGTGGCCAAGTTTGCAGAGTTGAGGTACAGATTCCGATTGTGCAAATGATGCCGACTTCCAGTCCAAACGGCTTGCAACCGCGACTTGCACACGCCGTGGACAACAGTCGAGTAAACAAAATGCTGTGGTGCCTAGCTGCGCAGCCACTGAGCAACCAAGAGAGTTGCTGGCTTACCTTTCACCGTTGTCCTGCATAGATGCCCGTCTGCAGCTTGCCGGTGATGGAAGGCTGCAGATTAATGATGGTTTTGAAGAATTACTGGAAGTACTATTGCTACTGGCACTTGTAGTCACTGTAGTCACGACACTTCTCCCAAGCGGTAGATCCAGAGGCGCAGTGGAAACTGCTGCCTACGTGTGATCTGTGGATTCAAGAATGTCCACGCTTGTGTCTTCAGTCTTCCTTCCCGGCTTCGGTTCCAAGGCCGCCTCCACGACCGCGCCAGGCGCTCAGAGCGGAGAATTCAACAGCTTCCGAGCAGTGCCCTATTGCAGACGCGTCACGTTGTTCTGTGCTTCCGAGGCAAAGTTCCCGGGTTCATAACAGAAGAATGTCGGAGCCAGGCAGAGGCTGGACCGATGAGTGCTCGGATTTGTAAGTCCCCCCTTGTGTAAACGAAGCAGAGCCACACATGGCCACGCCGTCGCAGTGCCAGGACTTTCTAGTCTGGATCTGGGAGCTGCAGACGCGGCAGGGCATGTGCGAAGCTCAGATGAAATCTGGGTCTTAGGCCTTAGGCCGTTGCCCTTACTTACGTCTAGTGTGTACTGCAGACGCCAGTATGGATTCATGCAGCGGCTTCAGGCGGAGCTCGAACAAAAACTGAAAGCAGAGACCGAAAGCTTTCAATCACAGCTGCAGGCGCCCACGTGCCCTTCAGACCCGTCGTGTTGCATTCATTTGTGCAGCTATCGAAGCAGCTGGGCAGTGCCACCTATCACACGGACTTGCCAACTTGTACAAGTTTGCAGGCCCTGACAAATTCAAACGCCCTGCTTCGAAGGACCGTGCCAGATCTGATTTCCTCAGGACGCTTCAAGTATGCTCCCTTGTTTTGACTTGCCCAGGAGACTGCGCTTGCTGGACGAAACCGCGCGCAAACGGGGTGTATCCTTGGCGTCGGATGAGGCTGCGGGGTGCACACGAGTGGCATGCCTTCGGAGACTTTCTGGGAACCAGCATTTTCAAGGAGCCTGATTCGGACGAAGCTCAGACCCCAGCGAAGAAGCCAGAGGTACCCTCCTCATCTGCTTTGGATAGCTTCCAGTGCTGAACAATGTCAGCCTCCGCGGCACCTGTTTAGGTTCTTCTCTGCGAGCAACTACTTGTGTCGGAAAGGAAGGCATCTCCTGGAGAGATCGGCAGAGCATGTCAGGGGGGCTGGCAATTTGCTGCATGTTGAGCCCACAAGAACTTCGCTGCAGGCTGTTGAGGATCTCCCGGTGCCGACCGTGGAGGACAGCGACTGCTCGGATATGACATTTCCTCGCAGCATCCCACCTTTGGCCTTCCTGCAGAGGAGTTGTATGGTCACGTGCAGTTGATCCTGGCAAAGCTGCAGAAGGCCTCGTTGCGGCCAAGGCCCCCAAAGCCCAAAGCTCTTCTTAGATTTGGGCCTGGCCCAGGCCCTGCTTAGAAATCCGGCCATGAAGAAGGGGCACGTGCAGGAGCTCGCGTCGCGTGCAAATGTTTTTTCACAAAGGGAAGGTAAATATATAGGAATTAGATGTTGGGCAGGAGCTGCTAAAGAAGAGCGGAGATGTGGCCGCAGCCCTGGGACAGCTTGAGGGTGTGTGCATGAGACACCCTGAACCCTAGATTGAGGCCAAAACACCGTGAGACATTCGAACGCCTGTGGACCACTTTCCAGCGGAATTCGATTTTTGTTTTGCTCTTGGAGTTCTTCGCTGTCTTCTTGCTCATCCTTGGTTTTCCTTTCTGTCTGCAATAGCTTGGCGCAAAACTTAAAACAAGACCCGACAAATTGGAATTCCCCAACAGCTTGGCGCATGAAGCCCAAGTTCCGCCGACTTGTCTACCTCCCTCCCTCCCTTCCTCCCTGTCTCTCTCTCTCTCTCTCTCTCTCTCTCTCTCTCTCTCTCTCTGTAGATAGGTTTTTTGGATGTGTATCCCTGTGCTCCCTGGTAGGGGTGAGGAACAGCACAGCCCTGAGAGCCGGTAGTACGCAGAACTCACGGCAGCCAAAGAGAGGTTGCTCGGCTGCCTGTAGGACTGTCGCTGGTGCAGGTCCGAGGCTCGCCACCTTCACTCCTTCACCTGACAGCGGCTCCGCGACCTTGGATGAAGAAAACCCAAAAACAAAGTTACACACACAACAAGGCAGCAAGTACTAAACTCATTTCCAGAGACCTTTCCGGCTCATCAAGTCAATTGCAGTTTTGGCTCTGTGGACACGGTTGTTGCGCACATGTGTGCACTCTCACCAATCGGAAAAGAGCGCATCCTTGCGGGCGGTCCGTTGTTCGCTTCTTCGCCCGCTAGTTGTCTCGTTTCTGAAATCGACGGCAAAGTTGCAGGTTGCTAACATTCAGACGCACATGTATGCATGTGGAACGGTGCGAGGTATCGTGGAAACCCTTGTGTGCATATAAAAGGCATACGGTGCACATTGATTTCGCTTCGGTCCTTTCCAAGAGTGATATCATGTCTCAGATGAGCTGGCAACAACTTGAGGTGATAGATGGAAGATGGAAGGTAAAGTCCATCCTCAGCTATTCAAAGAGGTGCCCGTGTTGGGAAGCTCACTCAACAGGTGTCCAGCCGTAAGTTTAGCTGGCCTCACAGGATGGTGGTGGCTCTGTGTCAGGACCTACATGTTGGAAGCGAGGCCCACTGCTTCTTCAAGCCTTGTGATGCCTTTCCGTATGCACTGCGCCGCAACAGGATGTGCCGTTCTTATAGAAGCAACTTGTTTTGGTGTTCCGATAGCACGAGGTCATTGTCAAGATGAGCCAGACGCTGGAAGCAAGCCTTCAACTTGCACATGTGGACTATGCTTCTCACCTTGGTTTGTAGCAATGTGGCTGTGCAAAAAGATCTGCAATCCACCTGAGGTCCTTCGCATGCTCGCGAATGTGCCGATCGTTCCACAGGCCCCCTGCCGGCGTTGTCCGCTGGCTGTGGCCATGCTATGCCATGGCGGGTGGGGCAGGTCCAGTACTGCTCGAGTCCCTCGTCCTCCCTGCCCTTCCTGGTCATGGAGCTTCTGCAGGAGCCGTCACAGCAGTCCGTCGTCGGAAGGGAGCGTGTGCTTTGCACTTTGTTCGGGAGGGCTCCACGCTGGATGTCCGCTTCCAGGAGACGGAGGCTTGCAAAGTGAAGGCACCAAAAACTGTTATTCAGAGCACAAGCCCAGGCAATGCTGGAGTTGGAAGCAGCAGAGATTGGACACGCACTTCTCATGGGTGGCTTTCTACAATTGTTCAAGAGAAGATGAGGGTAAGTATTGTGCGACTGGACCTTCAGGCATGGATGCTTGCCACCAGCGTCAGGTAGGGCTGCCACGACGTTGATGGTCGATGAAGTGCATACCGATTGGACAACGCCCGTGAGGTCTTCAATTTGGCTCTCTGTCCGGAGAATGTCTGGGCTCGTTTCCCAAGATGTAGTGTGTGTGTGCTACAGTTATCCAGTTTGTGCTACAAGTCCATGTCATTTTCAGCAGAGCAAAGACACCAGAAACCTTGGTGCAAGGTTGGGCCGCCGCTTGAAGGCTCTCGAGTTCGAATTCTGGCGCGGCCTCAAGCTGCTCGAATTCTACCCGGAGGGCGCTCGCGCTCGGATTCTACAGGATTGGAGCATCAGCGAGACCGGTGCTGCAGTGGTGGAGAACCCGAAGTCCCGAACTGAAAGCCGACCACATCGCGCCAGAACGCTAAGGGCTAAGAGTGTTTTAGACTGTTTCGGAAGTGTCGGATTTGCCGAGGCTTTATGCGTACATAAACATGCGAAAGACAGGCCTTCTTCGAGGCGAGGACCTGCAGTCGCCAGTACCAACTCGCTCATAGTTGCTTTCGGTTTTATCTGTCAGGCAAGAACGGTCCGACATTGATGAGCGGCGGGCAGGAGGCCAGAGACTCAGGCTCTAGTTAGTTTCGTAAGGCACTCCATTGCGCTACACCATGACTCAGAAGCGGGCATTCAGAGCTTCCGCTAACTCGCACAGAAACGGGAACCATTGCTCCTTCAGTGCTTTTGCCTGCGTATGCATGCAGGACTTCAGGAAGCCAGCTGCTAGGACGTGTTGAGTGCAAAAGCCTTGTGACAAGATTCTCTGAGGTATCTCCTTCCGAGATAACTTCCAAGCGGGATCGCCGCGGTCTCGAAGCTAGGCCTCCATGCCGTAACGGCAAACTCTGGCTTCCTGAAAGGCAAAGGCTTGCTTCAGAAGTTGGTCTTCAACGGCCGGAATCAAAGAAATGGCTTCCGCTGCTGGAATGGCGTTAAGAGACGATGATGCACAGTCACAGGCCATGGCAGTCTGTACTACATGTGGGGAACTTAGCCCCATATTGGCATGTTCCCAGTCATGTCGAATGGACTGTCTTCGACTGAAATGCACTGCTCCGCTCGCGAAGTCCTCACTCTCTCAGGACGCAGTACATGCCACGATCGGATTCGAACGCTCCATGTTGTTGGCCAGTCTCATGACCGTTTTGTCAGGTCCATGGAACAGTTGTACCAGACGATCAGGTCGGGGTGTTGTCTGCCTCGTTTGTGCACTGCAGCTTACCCTGTAGGTCCTTCGGAAGGGCGGGAAGTCCAGCAACAGTTTCGCAAAGTTGGTTTCAGGAGCCATGCAACCGGAGATTCGACCTGCGTCGGTGGATTTCCCAAGCTTTCCTGCTTTGCTCGTGCAACTGTTGGCTTGGGCTTAAGCTCTGTCGAATGCGGCATGGCATGCTGGGTATCTGCCTGGGAAGAGCTGCAGGCTCTGACGTTTGGCTTTCATGCATCCATTTCCATTCATGGCGGAATCGCGTTGATTTGGCATGCCTGAAGGGCAGCTTTCGCAAAGACAAGGCGGAACACATTGGCTCATGCTGATTTGGTAGTATATGCATGAAACTGTCGTTGAAGGAGGTGCCAGCAACACGTGAGTGCAGCATTCTCAGTCTCAGTGGCGAAGACTTCATACTTCCAACCGTGCTCGCATGTTCTGGTGCTATGGTCGGGTCTGTGGCATAGGCTTTCTGCAGGTTCGCCAAAAGGCCTGTCACCGCTCCGAGCGCTGTGGCAGGGTGCCTTCTCAGCAAAAGACTTAACCAACAAACATGGTTTCCAGATGTTGGAAGCATGTGAAGGCTTTTTGTCGCATTGGCCGCTGAATGTCCGCCGGCCTGCCACTAGCGAGGTTGGCGGTTCCTGCCTGACTGCTTTTGCAGTCGAGTCGAGAATCCGGTGCAGGACACCGTGGCCTCCCTGCGCAGCTCGACAGGTGTCCAAAGACAGCAGCTTGGCAGTATCTGCTCGCAGAGCCGCTTTTCGATTGAAAAGCTGCAAGCTTGAGGAGCACGCTGAAGCCACCGCTTCTCTCGAGGCTGTGCAGCCTGAACTGCCAACCGTGCCTCCCGCTTGTCCGGAGGCTGCTTCCGACTCCAGTAGCATCCACTTTGCTACAAAGGCTCGAGGGCTGTGATGCTCCAATCTTCCGCACACAGCCTGTGCAGAGGCACGAGGAGCGCTGGTTTCTGGAACAGCTTGGTGGAGAGGCAGTGCATTTGCGATATCCATGCATAATAAGCTTCAATAAGGATCACTTGCTTGGAAGCTTCTGTCATCGGAATTTGCCCGCAGTTACCTTATGGCTCGGGCGCAAGCCAGCAAGCCAGCAAGCAAGATGCAGTCTGCTAGCAAATTGGATTACAGGTTTGCGCATACTTCAGCCCCCCCAATGTTGTGAACGTCTGTAGATGTGGTCCATTGGTTAGGTCATGTCCCTTGATTTTGATCGCGATGGGGCACCAATTACGATGTGTTTGTGGATGCTGTCGTGATGATCCGTGATGCGGCTGTGCTTTGCAGTTTGCTTCGCTTTATCTGCAGCAGTCTTGCTGGTCGTGCTGAGCAGTGGTGCAGCTGGCACAGCAGAGCATCATACTGTGCTTGTCCAACAGGTCTATGTTGTTGGAATTCAAGCATTAGAACTTAGAACGCATAAGCTTATGTAAGCTTTCCTCGCCTTCCTGACGCTCGCTCTTGTCTGTGTCTGTCTGAGTCTGTCGACGTATTTTTCTTCGAGGAAGCTTCTTCCTCGCTGGCAAGCCGGACAAAGTATGGCTTCATCGTCTCAGCAATTTGCGTCGGCATCGTTGGAATACAGCTCCTAGTATGCTTTCACCAGTGTTTGTACAGCAGCTTTCTAAGATGTTGTGGGCATGCCGGGCACTCAGGTACGTCGCTGCCTGGTTGCCGATGCTGGCCAACCTTCGCCACAAGCTGAATCTGCAGCGGAAGATTCAGCACATGGCTACAGGCAGAGTTCATGCTTTGGTGTTGGAAGTTGGGAGCACGAAACTACGAAACATGTGATGTGGTTAGAATTCGTGCTTCGGTGTTGGGAGTTCGGGGCACGAAACTGTGAAACATGTGATGTGGTTTCAGTGGAAGTGATAACGAATGCAGTTCGTGCATTCGACTGTTAGTAGTCGATCATGTCGATTCACTGGTTCTCTCTCTATCCGCCATTTTGGGGAAAGCTTCGGTTTCTTCTCTCCCACCCACCAACCGTAGTTTACTTGACTTTCGATTGCTTTCAGTGACCCGGTCTGCACACGACCCATTTCATAGCATTCCGATACATTTCTGGAACAAAGGTCACAGATCTTTTATGAAGGACTTCAAATCAAGTCATATCACAAACCTCGCTACCGTCGTGAAAATAGGTGGTAAAGGTCGCTCAGGGATGTACGATTAGCGAGTGTTGTCTCGTCGTTGTGGTAGCTTCGGGTCCTGGAGCGGGTAGTCTTCAAAGCTCCGTCCACGTTGGCTGCGATGCAGGCCTGGCCCTTGCACAAATCTTTCTTCTTTTTTCTGCGAAAGTCTGCACTCTGGCCTTGGGTGCGGGCATCCTTGCTCTACTTCTTCTGCAAGTTGCTCGGGCAATGTCCGAGATGGTGAACCTGGAGTTCCTCAGGCTATTTGGATCCATGCTGAAGCAGGAAGAGCGGTAGCTTGGCTCGTTGCCCAACTTACCGTCTTGTTGGCAGCCAAGCCAGGCTTCATTGTTCAATGCTTAGTGCGTGCATGTCAGGCTCACTACGAGGCCGCCAGCTGCTGTTTATTTCTTGGTGGGCCTTTTCCTGTGCTTGGTGACCTTCCCACGCCGCCTCACACTTGTCTGCACGCTTGTTGCAACGCTCGCTGCGCCATGCTTGCAAGCCTCTAGACTCTAGACCCCGTCCTTTGTCGGATCTTGGAAGCGCGTACCCAATCTTCGCCAATGTCGTCGTGAATCTTGATCAGGACCCTTTTGCAGCGATTGGCGGCACAGTCATTGGAGGCCCACTTCTGCGGCTCCGCACCTCTCAGAAGAGCCTCGGCGGCTGCGTGACCTGTGTCTTTGCATCTCGGCCTCAACGTGGCGGAAGGTACAGAGTCTATTGAAGGTTGGATGGACATCATGCCAGCATTTCTGAGACATAAACGACAAAAGCTCAGGCAGGACATCAGTCCCACATTTACTATTATTTCTTCTGGTGCCACTACTTACTGCGTACTAATTGCTGCTTACGACTTCCTACGTTCTACTACTAATTTCTGGTGACTACTTACCACATACTGTTACTGCTAATGCTCCTGTTGCTACTACTCCGGCTGCTGTTACTGCTAATATCACTACCACCACCACCACCAC